TGTAGGTTATCAGAGGATATATTTCTGTATCAGTGTCAGACATCCATATATACTTGTCAACCAAAGTGTAGAAAGAAAGTTGAATAGCCCAATAATGATTATTTAGTAGACTAGTCACAAGATATAGAAGGGCCTTTAAATAGTTATTCAGACATGAACTATATTAAAAATCCAAAATGATAGAAATTATATATCCATTTTTGAGGTATATACAGTCATACATAATCAGTGTAATGTAATAAATTCATTAAAGTGTCTTTACCTCAGCGAAGGAGTTTCTAGATTATCATAATCGGAAGGGTGAGGGGGGTGGTTTGGTCATTTCCTACATGTACCAGTATTTGCTATTCAAAATAAGACATCAATTCATACAGTTATGGGCTTGGGTGTGCTTTTTTCATCTAATTCACCTGCATTCATTGTTTGAATTTGTGATTGCCTCCCACTTCTAATCAGATGCCCTCTAAGTTAGTGATTCTATGATCATAAGAGTTCATAGTAATAAGTCTCTTTAACTTAGTAAATATATTATTTTACATAATTTAAAAAATAAAAATAAAGGCCAAGCTTAAGGTATGCCAACTTCTCTAGGGCAGCACGCGGATGGTAACTTGTCCCAGTTATATAAATAAGATTTTCGCAACTGTACTTCACGTTCACAAAGTCGGTTATGCATTGTCAACTGTTTTTGATTTTCGAACATATCTTGTATCGTCTGTTTATGTGTTACAATGTATCCGTTATTACATCCACGTGAAAGGTACTCGGTATTAAACCTTGTGTCATGGATCCGGTTTATCTCGACTGGTGCGAGCCAGACACCGAGAGATACATCTTCATTATTATAAAGTTTAAGATAATCTGAATTTCTCGCAACAAAGTGAACCAAATCATGTGATAAAATGTATCCACCACCGAGGGCATATGGCAAATAACGATCACAAAGCTTCCAATCTTCTTCTGCCCATTTGCCTCGTTTTTTAGCCATTGCTCGTCCATCAAAAAAGCCCCAATACACCACTGCAGGATGCATTGTGTGCAACTCACTGACGATAATATCAAGTCGTGCAAACGTATCATCATCTGCCTTTAAAACAAAAGTAAAATTGACATTTTGGTCCAGCCATATGTACATTTTAAGTAGTTTCTCAGTTAGTTTGTTGTAAGCATCTTGCAATGTTGGTAAGAGCAACAAATCACCATGCTCAGACTGCTCAATTTCAAGCTGTTCTCGTTCCATCAAATTTAACCCCTCAATTCCAATCACAAATCTCGGCATGACATCACGGCGGTGATTTAGTAACCATGTTTGACGAATCGTATTTCTGCGTTCAATATTCTTTGGCCCTGTCATTATCATAACTGCAAGAAACGTCTCTTGACGCTTTGACATCGATTTTGGAGGTTCTTTCTTCATCTGGTTATCAGACTCTGCTCTTGAACAAGGAGGACAATATTGCTCAATGTTGCAGGCGGACATGTAAATCAGAAATACAAAGAAGCAGATGAGTGGAAGAACTTTCAGCAAAGTACCAGGGTGTATCCGAGGCATTATTTAAATGCTCAAATGTCCACTTCTGTCAAAGATAAAACAGAAAATGTCAGCATGATTTTAATAGAATTGTCACAAAGTTTTCGTATACACTTTTCCAGTTGCTCTTCAGTTTGGGCTAAAACAGATAATGTTCCCTCACTCATCAGGTGACTGCCCATATATGCAATGCATTATGGGAGAGAATTTCCCAATCTATATAATGAAAAACTATTATCATGCTGGAAACTCACTATAAAATTAAATATATTTGTGGAAATGTTTCAGCAATATTAAGAATAGTATCAATTTTAATATCATTTTCAAACTAAAGGTACGAAACGAAGAACGAATAATTTCCCCCTAGAAACCAACTTAGAAAGCATTGCATCATTAACCATTAAGTATGCACTCAACAACCATAAAATCTTTTCAGATAAGGAAATGCAACGAGCTTCAGTTTCTAAGAATCACAAACTTCTAATTGGAAATTTGGACTTGAGAATATGGTTAATATATGTCAGAAAAATTTACTGTAAACTTATTTTATGTTTACATAGTTAGTACTTTCGCTAATTCAAGATGTTACTAATTTAAAAAAAAAAGTTACATGCTAACAATGAGATTGTTGGCAAAATGCCTAAATTAAGATTCTGATTAATTCATGTATTCAGTCAAATTACACCCACTCACTGTAAAGTAAAAATGGCTGATTTGCAGAGCTACAATGTATGGTATATGCCAATGCTATCTGGCATTAGAAGGAAATGATCTTAGCTGCTCTATTAAGATTGTAGCATTAACACTTGTTTATTTATAATTAGGTATCTTGGATTATTAATAATAGGGTGATTGTTATGTATATGACCTTTGAACTCAAAATAAATAAAAATAAATAAACAATAGGAGGGGGGTTATTTTGGGGCTTGTACAATATTCATTTATGTCACCAGCTTTCTTTACAATTCAGCTTTCTGACAGTTCTCAGTCCTAGGTTTACAGTTAGTGTTTAACCTAAAACAATTTGTGATAACTGAAAATTGATGGAAATAAAACACAATTAATTGATGTAGGTTTTGTGAGAGTGAAAATTTGTGTAATTTTTTTCAGAAAGAGAGTCACTGACACTGCTAAAATTTCTTCATTTTTTAAATAAAACAATACTGTGCTGAATAAATTACAGAAAATGAAAAATTATTCCAACTAAATCTGTGAGAGGTAAATAAGTGCTACATTTTACAATATGCCGCATGCTATTATCAGAATTCAAAATGGCATGCTAACATTTTGACAACTGTCTACAAAATGGTTTCGTACAGTCTGCTCCTTCCCACATGAAATGTTGATTAAAATTGACAAAGCTTTTGATCAAAAAACCAAAAGCAATATTTGAAATTGTCTGTATGGCTAAAATGAAAATTACTGAAAATTTTACACAATGTGAAAATATTTGCACTGAATTTTAGGTAGAACAAGAAACGTGGCACGCAAAGAATGTAAACTTAATTGTGTAACACAGTAATACAATTACATTGCTAGATGTATCTACATTCAGCTAATATTTTCTACACAAATATGAACCAAAATAACAGATTTTAATTAATATGTTTTTGATCAATAATGCACTGTTTTGTAAAAGATGCCAAGCAAGCAAATGTTAGCCCAGTCTCAAAATGCTGCTACCAGAATTACCCACATAAATTTGTTTAATGAATATTGCTATCTGTGATGAATATTACCACACTCACTAGTGGCTGGACTTGTACTAACATTTTCAATGCAAAATTTGATAAAAATGCAATTAATGTACTTTGTAATTTTTTGAAGGACACACAGACATACTGAGTCTGTGGAGTTAAAGTTCTGCATATATACACTATACATGTACTTTCCCTAGTCTTGGCAAAAAATAATTAATATTTCTGATGAAAAAGGATGGGAGAATTACGAAATGTCAAAAATGTAAATTTGATGATTTTAAAATTACTAAAGTTTCAAAATTGGTGCCAAATTGTTGATACCCAATTTCAAACTACTGAAATTTGACAATTTAAACCCAAAATCACCTGAGAAAGTTTAATAATACTTACTAAATATCCGACCTTCTGAACAAAGTGTGTGTCGTCAATGCGGAAAACCGGTTATGATAGCAGATGACAAACACATGCAATTTATACCGTATATATAATTGCACTTTACCAATTGACTTGAAATGCACATACAAGTACAGCCACACTAAAAGGAATATTTGTTTACTGACCCAGCAATCAGGAAATTACAACAGACAATTTGTAAGTATATCTAGTCTCATGCTATTATACTTTAATTTCACTGTGATTTTAATTGTGTTTTGATTTCAACATTTCTAATCACTAATGTATGTAATGCATTCAACATGTACATGAAAATACTACTCCTGATCAATTATTTTGAATTTTGATATTTTGAGTTATGAGAGAGTAATAAAGTGATACAAAATAGTCTGACAAGGTAAGATCTGTGAAAATGAAACAGGTTAATGAGAAAGATCACAGGTAATATTAATAACAAAAATATAAAAAGGTTATAAATTACGAATGGTTCAACAACAACAAAATTGTGCATGTCCAAAAGTGTCAAAACTTATTTAAAATTTACACATACACGTGTAATTGAAAAAACTCATCATCCACTTGAACAAATTAAAACATCTGTTGCTATGGTGACTGGTACATTTATTAAATCACAACTCGTCAAGATAGACTGCTACTGGAATTTTGATTTACTTAAATGTGCATGAGGCTGGTCCTAATGTACGGTTATCACTGTTGCTATGGCAACCAGCAATGAACAAAGAAATGTTCATTATGATCTGAGGTTTAATTCCTGAAATATCAGACATTTCTCATATTTTAGATTTTGATTTTACAAAAACTCAGTACAAATGAGTATTCTACAATAGGTGTTTTCTCTTTTTACTGCAACTATCTTGTGTATTGCATAAAAGGCAAGGGCCGAACAAACTGCATAAATTGAATGATTTGGTTTTTAACTTTAAATCATTTCATGGCCGATCTTTTAGAGGGGATTATAGCGATGAGATACAATGTACCTTTACTTCATCAAACTTTAACATCACCAAATGTCTATAGCACATTATTAGGTGTGTATACCGGTACCCAAAATATACTTCCATGTTTGTTGAATCTCACGTGATATTTTGATGACACTCATGCTCCTTTCCAGAGTTCTGTGCGATTAGATCACCGAAAGTATTTCTGCCACCACACACCACCATTTTGTGGTGAAACACCACAAGACTTTTACTACGCCAATTATATGCGTATTTTTGTTATTAGAGGGATTTCGTGTTGATTTATTCCTACTGATAAACAAGTTTTAAAATGTTTCATCAATAGCTGATAATGATTTTTTTGTGAACGCACTGAAAACAGTGAAATAGTTATAATTTACAAAAGAAAATAATTCCATTGCATGATAACCGTTACCAAGGTGTTACTTGGTTCATCAAACTGACCATCCTGTCGATTGCCAGGCGAAGAATTACAAACTAACGAAAGCACTTCCTAGTATTAACGACTAAATAGTCCTTCTGCCACACTGTTCGTGTTACAGTAAGAAAAAAAGAAGCTTCTAACTTTGAAAACAGCCAAAACAACGCGTACACATTCGTCAGGTTCGAAAATAGAACACTTGCATGGCAATGTTTTGGTGAGCGTCTTTGAAAGTAGTACCACTGTGACGCATCGACCGATCAACGACAAGCATAAGATCGTGTGGTGGCAGAGATATATTCATGGAATGGAACTCTGCTTGGGAGATTGGATGCCACTATGACGCTATTACCTGCATAACACAGGATCTCACAGTAAAAGAAAAAAAGTCTATCAATCAGATACTTTGAAGAACAAGTTGAAATTATTGATGTCAATGATACTCAATTGCATATATTTGTATGAAAAAACGAAGCTAGCTGATAGTCAGTTGGGAGTTACTCAGTACATGTAAATTATGTTCAAACTGAACTGTACTAGGTATTTTGTCTATAGACAAACATTATGTATAAAAACACATGTCCTACACCAATATAGGAAATATGGCACATGTATATACTTTCACAGCATTCTGAAACAGCCAAACAAAATTGTTCTGTTTTTCATTTTCACAAACTGTATACACGATTCAAGTATATTGTGCGAGAATCATAAAAATACAATTTACAAATGAGTTAAGATTTACAAAATGTTGATTGGACAACTAATCAACGAAGAACCTTCCTAGCCATTCTGATGCTTTCTGAAGATCTAAAGCTCATTCAATTTTAGAATTTTTATTATTTAGAACCAATTTTGTTTTCATTTAAGATTAGCCAAACTCACACAAACAGATAAAAGAAAATAGCAATTTAATCATCCTTTTTGACTAGGAAATCAGAATACATTTTGAATTTATTAATGATTACAAGATCATCTTAGTTATCAACATGTAAAAGGCCTGTACAAGTAATCAACAAATGGCTTCAAACTGCAGAATTCAGAAATATTTTTTGAATTTCATACCTTTTCATATATTAGACTTTAATTTTATAACAAATAAAAGTATTCTTCAATTGTTGTGTTTCAGATAATTTTCATTTTCCATAGCCTAACCATGTAATTTAGTGTAGTCAGTACAATTCTATGTAATGAATACATACATGTATCACTGTCATAAGCTATTATGGCATAATAAAAGATCAGTACATTAGTTTAATGAACAAAATATGTTTGAAAGAGTGACTTAAATTCATATCAAAAGAATAAAGGCACAGGAATAATTAATCAAAAAACTTGATTGTATTGACTGACATGAAATGTGTATTTAAAATCACCTATATTTTATTGGAAGCTAAAAAAACAAAATACAACAGAGTGTTCGCAAGATAGAAGCTTCTCATCCAAAGTTTAAAGTGTTCCAAGGATTACCACAGTTTTTTAAAGGGTAGGGGATCATCATGCTGCATTGATATGAGACTCATAGCAATGTATACGTGTGTAAAATACATTGTTTACATGGAATATGAATGCGATGACCATCACCTTTTAAGTTAGTTTGTTTCCAGCACAAAATAGCATCATAAAGGCACCAAATTGCATGTGGGACTTGTAAACCTGATCACAAAATTATAATTTTATGTGAACCAAATCCCATTAAATTCAAGTTGTTTCATATTAGAAATGGATCCTCTGCCATTCAGAGTAAACTGGATTTCATACTTCCTAGTTTAGTTGTCTATACTGTAAATTGTCTAATATGTACATAGTACGCATCTAAAGCATAAATCAAAATCAATCACATGTCAAATAAGCTTGGTTCATAACCCAACTTATTTCATCTCTTAAAGGCCTTAATTAAAAAATACAATAAGTTATTAAAATACCTGTAAGTGAACAAATGTATTCATTTGGTATATATTTTTCTATTCAGTACATTTATTTTTAAATTGGTTGGTGTAGCATGCAAGCAGATTATGTTATTATTAAATTTTACCATTTATAACTCAAAGGAAATATATTGGAAAAGCTGAACTTGTGTAAAAAAAAAAAGACTAAAGTAATATTACACTGAATGTTCAAAATCAACTACCTATATGGTATTTTGCTAGTATATTTTAAAATCCACAGAGAAAAATTTGTTGTTATCTAGCCAGGAAAATTTGTCATGAGTACTTCAGTCAACAAATAAAAAAAAATGTATTGCATTGAAGAGTCGTCTGCGCCAATCTGTCTAAAATTCTGATGCTATTTTCTTTGAACTATATCACCGAACAGGGAATTAGGCTACATGTATAGTTTTTACACAAAAATAACATCAGCGATTACACCCCTTCTTCAGTCTTTGATTAATATGAACAGTTTTCATTCACTTCAAAGAATTATTCCCCTAACAATATTATTTTTTTTATTGAAATTACTTTTGCCAATTTAAAATAATGTAAAATATTATATTCTACATTTTAATAATTTGCTTTCACACGTTACACTGTTTCTTAAAAAAAACACTTACAAACATAATTCCAAAATGTAGTTTCTTAATTTGTCATTTATCGGTGAAAATAATTACCTACCCTATCCTATCCTATACCAAAAAATATAATCCTGAATGGTTTTTCTAAGATTCATACATATGCATGTTGGTTACAGTACATACATAGGTTTAATGAATAAATATTTAAACAATAATGAACGACCCACCAACCCATAATAAGCATTGTCATTACCAGTGGATTTGCTGGCTCTAAAAAGCGGAAGAAATTGGAGAAATAGCTACAGTGAACAAAATAGTTTCACAGTCGCTGGCCTGTGAATCTGAATAATTTAAAATGTCTTTCTGGAAATTATTTCCACAATTTCGTATAGCAAACCATGGAACTATAAACCTATAGTTCCATGGGCAACTAAGAAAGAAACTAGTTTTAATCCATCAAATATTATTGTATTGAACTCATTTACATTGCGAGTGAATGAGTGAGTGATGTGTGGTGTGGAGTAGCATTGCAGTGATCGCCCGAGCGAACGGCACGCCGTGACTGGTACGCCATATTGGTGTCCACCGCGGCCTTGCACTACGCTACGCTAGATCGTTACAGTGGTCCAGCTGGATCGACTGTTCGTAGGGGTGCGTATCCGGGGTACATGCACGTAGTTGCATCGTTACCCCATCTCACTAGTGTTTTCAAACCATCAAGGTAGATATTATTGGCAACTGTCCTTTCTGTGTAATAGTTATTTTAGGGCGGGGATTTGACAAATACTTTGAAGCGGGCGAACGAACATGACCGGACGGCTAGTGGGTGTTAGCCATCCTAAAAAGAGAACAGTGATTTTAATCTCACTGTATAAATAAACAGATACACACCTGGGAACAAGGATACTTTCATTTATTTATGCAAACTGTTACATTTACCGGGAGTTGACACTGAGGAAATACAAGTCACGTTGGTCTTTTGTCGATCTTGTTTAGCAAATTTTGTAGTACTACTCACTACAAAAACAGAACAAATTCATCTCTCTGTATTGGTAGACATACATTGTACCCCCATTTCGTTTATCGCATTTGCTTGGATAAATTATCCTTGATTAACCTAACTTCATCAACACGATAGGGCGAACTAATCAGGAGGCCACAAGGACAGCGGCATCAGTCGCGGAATCTAGAAGCGCACGTACTAGATGGAACGCTTCGTCCGAACGCGCTATTTTTGGTATTAAATACTTGTTATCCAACAATTCCTCTTCTTTTTCAATAGTTTCTTCTTTATTCGTTTTCGAAAATAACATTGTATTCATATCAATGGGACAGGGCCTTGAAGCTCAATAATGGGATACAATGTACATTATCACGAATAATCTGCTGCAATGACGTCATAAAATCCACTGGTATTGATAATGCTATAATATAATTATAAATATTGTCCATGATAATACTGATATTCATTCAGATACAAAAGTGTTCCCAAAATATATATTTCACGCTACATGTTGGCTATTTATATAACATTACTTGTCAAAATTCATTGTAGAAAAGGAATGATATGACATTGTATTGTATTTAAAACATATCACACAGACATCTCTCTCAATAGACTGTGGTGTCAGACCTGTTCTGTAATGTTGACCAAAACACATTTTAAGGCAAATTATTAAAATCAGTTGCTTAACTGATACATTGCACTAAATTACCTTGAGAATGTATAAAATAGCACAAATAGCTTACATGTGAATCTGGATGCAGGGAGTGCCTTCTTTATTGGTCTGGCATACTGTGATATTAGAGACTGGTTTCTGATGCCACTAGATAATCCATGTAATTTTTGTTTCTATGTACCAGTAGAAATCAGTACTGTACTGTACTTTATTTTAGTTGGGTGTCTATTGAAAATAATGGGTCACATGAGTGTAAATTATTATTTTCCATGAATGTTGAAAGTCGCTGAAAACGAGACATAGAATCATACCTTCAGCGAAAATAAATTCCAAGAAAGTAATTTACAGTATGTGGGTATAAGATTTGACTTCTTGTATATAATTAAATGGAACATTTTCTTGGTATTAAAATAAAATAAAATAAAATAAAATAAAATAAAATTAAATTAAATTAAATTAAATTAAATATGTCCAAGTGCTGAAACTTTAAGAACAGAGTATTAATAGAGTTTTGTTTGAAGCATTCTTTGAAATTAAGATATAGTTAGGTGGAACTACATTGGTTTAAACAAGATGTCAGTTAGCCATTTTGGATTTGATGGTGACAAAAATGCATGTTTATCTACAGTATGTGTTTGAACTTGATCGGTCCAGACATGTCAGATATATGGATCAGGAATTGCATTCTTTAAAACAATATGGACACCAGTTAGCCTGACATCTGGTTTCAAAATAATGAAAATATGTGATTTTGATGAATTTTAGGCTTCAAAATGACTCCCATTCAGCCATCTTCAATCAGATGTGAGTGTGTAGTCTTAACTCAATCGGCCCAAGCATGTGTGAGAGACGTGGAGATTTCAAAAATAAATGCTGTAAAATATAATTATGCAAATGATACATGTAATTGAGAAAACACAGTTCTTTTAAAACAATAGTTTGTCTAAATAATATTTCTCTCAAAGCAGTAACTAATTCCAAAGAAGAATATTTAAAAATGTGTCACGCTGGCCCTTCAAACACACCAATGTGTTCATATAATTTACCATCTAGCAAGGCTTCTATAATTTCACTATGTTTTCTAGACCACAAAGATCATTACCATTTCTAATGATATATCATTACGTATTATCAAGACAGTGTACGATTATTTTGATTATACACAAGACCAAATATTTCATTATTTTTGTTGAGTTGTTTTATGTACAGTATGACAGGAATCAGTAAATCATCAATATTTATAAGTCATCCCTGTGACACACCACATCCACCTTAAATGCAATCATAGCATCATCCAGTTCGTACAGTTTCACTAAAACCGGCCTTCCATGGCAGTCCTCATGAACCCATGCATTATAATGTTAAACAGTTAAATTGAAGTAATCAGCATTACTACATAACAACAAGTTTCATCAATTTCAAATTTGAACCAATCTTATCATGTCATAGCTTTATAGTACTGCCAAAATCAGGTGACTTCATGTTCCATTTCCTATGGAAACGCATCACAATACTTGAATTCTTGTTTCATTTACCATAGACACAGGAGCAAACATTGTTTTGTTTAATTGCCTTGACAGTGTGTTTTGCTTGGAATTTATTTTCACTGATTTTTGATGAGTTTAATGTGAAATACAGGAAAAAAAGTATATTCACTGGATTTTATTTTCACGAAATCATCTCTTCAGCGAAAATAGCTAAAATAAATTCCAAGCAAAAATAAGTATTCTACAGTAGTCTCATTACCAAACCTTTTTTCACAGATGAGGTGCAACAAATTGTCAATTTCTAGGAGGCTTTTCAGAATGAGTCCCCATATATACTGTAGAATACTTTATTTTCGCTTGGAATTTATTTTCGCTATTTTCGCTGAAAGGATAATTCCGTGAAAATAAAATCCAGCGAATATACATTTTGTCCTATATTTCTATATAAACTCATCAAAAATCAGTGAAAATATATTCCATACAAAACGTCCAAAAAGCCTTTTCAGCGAAAATTAATTCCAGCGAAAATAAAGTATTCCACAGTATATCTTAATGTAATCAACATTTTTTGAGCCACCTATCTACAGTAAAAGTCAGATGTTATTTAAAAGGCGGCAGTCATCGCGCCACGTATGCGCAAGATATATGGGTCTCATATAAACAAAGATGGAGACTTTGACTGTTGCGCAGATCAACAAGTAGGTATTTTTTAGGTGATTGGAAGGTATCAAAGAAGTCACCAGCAGTAATTAGTGCAAATCTCGCCCAGGTCAAACATTAAACTTGTGATTTCCATTAGAATAACACATTGGATTGTGGGAAAATAAATGTTCATCAACACAAATGTCGTACATGCGCAGAGTGATGACCACCGCCCTTTAACTTCTATGCTGGCTATCAGCTGACTTAGCCTTTTCATAAAAACTCACAATATTTAATTAATTAAAGTGAATATTATAGACATCAATGATTTCAACTTACTCTTTGTAGTATGTACCTATGCTACTAATTATTTGTATTACCCCGGGGTATTACCCTACATAATTTAGTTTCCGTTCGATCATCATAATAAAACAAATGATTGGAAAGAGCGCCCTCGGGTGGTCTTATTGGAAACTATGACAGTTGATGGAACAGGTTTATTAGAACATTGGCCAACATGATTTTCCCTAAACCTAATAAAATAAATTACCTTATCTCTTCATAGATGAAAGTACTGTCTTACGATAACGGAAACCGTCATGCTGGATAAACCGATTATTGTCGTAAAGTTCATGTACGTGTATTTTAGCTTCCATTTTGTTTTTTTCCCAGTATTCAATTCGGCAGAGCCACCTAACTTACACAAAAAACGTGCACTTATTAATATAACGTTCCTAAAAAATACGTTAATTGCACCAATTGGTATACAGTTTAGTGGACTGAGCAAAATAAAATATTTATCAAGATTAAAAAACAATAAAAGTTGTTTATTATTTATATTGTATAATGAAATTACGAAACTGCAAAAATGTGCAAATAGATATAAAATTCAATTGTGCTTAGTTAGAGGGCTCTATGACGAATTTGGGAAATACGGTTCCGGTTGCGTGAAAATACGTCGTAATACTGAGTGTAGTATTTCCCCCTTTCCCCGAATTTGTGGGGTGTTCCACTTATACTTTGGCCTCCTGTTTAAAGCAGAAAACAGCAAAGGTAATGTATTGTTTATAATTATGAATATTTTGCCTAGAACTCGAGTAAATGTGTCCCATATTTAAGTTACTTTCGTAGATTCCAAGGAAAACACGAGTGCCCGTGTTTAACTTGCGGGAGGGTAGATGATGTTAATTTTCTGCAGGCAAGAGTTCCTTTTGTACCTCCAATCTCTAACACTAAGCCTAACGCTCACTCCCAGTTACCCAATTCATTTGTTAACAAATGAGCCCTTCACATAATTGTGAATGCATCCAGAGAATTAAAAATGTTACGTCACAGTAAACAAAAATAAATAGCAGTCCTTAAAAATAATAATAAATATCATAAAATACCTAAATATTTTAGAAAAAACGACTTTCTCGCCACCTTAAATTTATCCCAAAACTACTTATTACATTTTGTCATAATGGCAACCATTGTAATGGGAAATTTTCAATTGTTTGCTTTGTTTGCGCGTAAAACAGTAAATTTAACAGAAAACACTAAAATTAACAAAGCTCAGGATATTTTGAAAACAATACTAGAAAATTGCTGATGTGTACTTACGACCTGACATTTTTTGTTTGACAATTTTGTCTAGCATGCAGCTAGAAAGATGAAGTGAGCACCTCCAGTAGCACATTTCCAGTTTAGTCATAAAAAGATACTTAGTCAGCATTTAAAATTTAAGCAACTTTGGGTTACCAGAAACCCTATCTTTTATATTTGATGTAATATTAACAAACTAAAATAAATCATTTTGCATCTGCAGTATTTTTACGACTGACTTTTAAGGCCACTGTGAGTGTAAAATCAATGTTTGGGTGATTATTACAAAAAAAAACAAGACTGGAATTTGAATAATTCTGATTGACAACTAAGTTGATTTTTAGTGGAAATGTTAATTATTCATTATTGCAACAGTTTTCTTCATACAGTTTTCTCTTAGTATATATTATCATGGTTCTCCTCATTTTGCTATAGCAGAATCCATGGTTGTGTTGAATGGGCAGCTGCTGACCAAATATAAATAGTACCCATTCTGACAATTCTGTAGATCCAGAACAGATATTTTTAAGACAGAAATTTATAGTGATCGTATGTTAATGATTGCATAATTGGATACTGTCCGTGCATACTGTATGTGTGCAGTACACATGTAATGTTGTCAGAAGACCAATTGTTTGATAATATTTTGCACCCACTTCTAGGCAATAAAATTAAATAAAAGACATTTACTTCACATTCAATCGATTTTCAAATATTCTATTAATTCCCAGACAACAAAATCACAGCTTTCATTAGTTATCACACACTCGTAAAACAAGTAGTTTAACAACTATGAGTATTCAATGCTTGGCTCTTTGTCTGATGTTTGGTTTCACTTCAGGAGAAGTCAGAAAGCTGGAAATAGCCAACGGTGGCAGGGGATATTTTACTTGAAGACGATTTATTATTTTAATTTTTAGTTTTTTAAACATGTCCATTTCAGGTCAACCGAAACCAAAATCATAAATGTGTAGATGGGAATTTCACTGACACTGAAATGACTCGTATTTTGTGTGAAAAATAATTAAGTAAATATTCTACATGTATATATACAGGGTTCTTTTCAGAGTGCTGGGCGATTCATGAGCTCATTAATATTCAAAGGGGCCCCTAGATTGTACCAGGACTTTCTGGGGTTTATGCATAAACCATGATTGGTACAATCTGAAAAATTAGTTTCAGGAAAACATTCTTGTAGGGATCGAGTTTGTTAATTTGATCTTAATCATCAAAATTAAAAAAAAAAAAATTGAATGAAAATATGCATATAGATAAATATGCATATAATAAATCTCTATAACATTATTTTTCTCAAAACATAAAAATGAATAGTGCATATATGTGATACTAATAATAATATTTATATTTTCATATACTAGATGAGTAAACGAACCAACACCACTGCTACAGCTCGGCTAAAGCAAGATTACATAAGGATTATGAAAGATCCTGTACCTTATGTGACAGCTGCTCCCTTGCATTCAAATATACTAGAATGGTAAGGTTACACATCTTTATATCACTGTGACTTCAAATGTGTAGCTTAGAATCGATGTGTTGTTATCAGAGAACTCTGAGACAACAGTAACTGCCTTGCAGTGTGTACTTTAACTGGACTAATATTGTAGAAATCTTCAAGTCAAAATGGAATACCACAAAATCAAAGTCAGCTTGTTAACTGCTGGGGCTGTCTACAAGGTATACCGTAAAAACTGCGACCAGTTTTGGTTTTCCCCCAAACGAAAAAAAAAAATGATGTGAGCGTCCAAACGGGACTTTTCCCGAAGGCATGAATCCGGGTTTCTGATTGACTGAGAGATTTTTATTTTATTGGTAACGAAAGTATATTCCAAACGAAGTTTCAAATAAAAATGAACACAACACACATCTTCTACATAGAAGCAAATGATCATGGTTGCAAAATCCGGTCATGCTGCGTTTTTGAATTGTTGATTATTACTCAGTAGTGATTATAATAATGTACACAAAATAAATTCGTTGAATTGTTATGAAATACAAATAAAAGTCAACTTAGTTTCATCGTAAGCGAATGATTCCGGTCTCATATAAACGTTCGATGCTGTAGGATATCCGCCATGTTCTCAAATAGGTCAAATCGCTAATTAACCAATCAAAAAGCTGGATGATGCCAACGTGTTCAAATCACCATAGCTTATTTAAATATGTTAATGTTATTGAACGCAATGCGGAAGAGATTGATGTTGTAGTACGATCTTTTGGCTTGGATTTTGATGCGAAAACGGCATGGTTTTTTTTATTAAATCAAAAAATTAGTTTTAAAAAAATAAATTGGGCATTTGAAAAATAATTTAACATTGTTCACAGTGATAACAGCTCATTGTCGAAACGAAGCTTACCCGTTCGCGCTAGTCACGATAAAAATCATACTCTTGAATAGACGTCAATGACTACGGTAAAACTTAGACTCTATTTTAGCCCTCAGGAATGATTGAAATGTCCGAAAAATGACGCCAAAATACACCTTAAAAGTTCCATTTTATTTTCTTAAATCCCATTTTATTTTTTAATCCAAGGGCGAATTTATGGCAGAATCTGGTCCCTCAAATAAGGGACACGTGAGCTTTGATTCTAACCGGATACATTGCACTGGGTCGGGGAGATAGTTTGCTAAACTTCCATGTATCTTTTGTCCAATGGGTACCTGTACTTCGAACATTCGCAAGTTTTCCTAGGTAGTGCAAGACAGCTTTGTTTTTTGACCTATTAGTTTTGTGCTGACCTCTTCTCCGCTCTTTGTTTTGTTTTCCTTGTCATAATACTCACTGATTGATGACTTTGTTTTAATTTTGAGTTGTTCATCCTACAACTTGGCCACGACCTTTGCTTTTACCGTGAAACATGGGGAAGTTTACGTCAATTGACGAACATTGCATTTTTTAAAAACTAACGAAGCACACTGTCTATCATCCCCATTTTTTTCATTTGCTGATTTCTATTCTGAAAAATTTGACCGTCCGAAAATGCACCTTAATTTTGACTCTAAAACACGTCACATTTCCAACACAAATTATTTAAATCCGGTCGAAATTTTGGAGTTTTTACGGTAGGTGATTTGAGCCACAAACAAAAATCATTGTATGTTTTTCTTTCGCATCAATGACACACTAGTGAATTAGCACAATCAGTGTCTTCTTTGTGTATCAGTGGCACGTCATATCAGTTTAGAGGGCACACTGCTTTCTTGTCAGTACCTGTGTCAGTTTGTTCAACGTAATTTCTCAGAAATGCCTAGATCGATTCTGTCATGATTTGTTCTTTGTTCTTTCTGCCGACTGACAGCCATTTCTGTCCTCAAAACAAAAATCATGTCATCTTATTTCAAAGCATATCTGTGCTAATTTCATTAAAACTTAAAATCACCCTTGGTCGCCTTGATCTTTATTACACGATTTGACTCCTAATGGTTGACTGACAAGTTTGTTTGTTTTTCTTAAAAATCATGGAATCTACACGTATCAGTACCATCACATAGAGCAGTCTTCTCTAATTGAGTTTAATATTTTGTTTGTCAAGTTTGTGACTGACCAACAGGAAATTGTGAACAAAAACATCTTCTCAATTGCAACCTTTATAGAGGAATGAAAACACATATTAAAAAACATTAATTATAGTAAAATCAAAATTTCCAGCAGATGTGATATAAAATAATCATTGAAATAGCAAAATGTACACTTGTTTCAGATTGAGATGAAATAAAGTCTTGACATGCAATCTATCAATAAAGTCATTTTGTTTTATTCATTATTTATTTCATCTTATACATGCACATGTTTTTCCCCATTCTTTTAGTGCTGTTCATGATCGTGTATTTTTTCTCCCCTTTAACTATTGTATTCCTACCAAGATCTTGCCCTGGGAAATAGCTTTAATGAAGATTGTTATTATTACAGGCACTATGTTGTGAGAGGTCCTGAGGGTACCCCTTATGAAGGTGGTTATTATCATGGTAAACTTGTATTCCCAAGAGAGTTTCCATTCAAACCCCCTAGTATATACATGATAACACCTAATGGTAGATTCAAGTGCAATACAAGGTATGCTGGAATATTTTTATTCATTGTCTGCTTTTTTCTTTTCTATGCTCTTTTTTTTCACAAGTAGCACATGACAAATCACATTTCCATTAATTTCTAAAATACATTTGATGTTGCTTTCATCATGTGAGACTAGTTTTAAACCATGGTTGTTCTGAGAAAATGGATATCATTCACAATAACCTGTCATTATTGTTTGTACGTTGATCGCATTGGGAATGTCAGACATTTAGTTGCATTTGCTTTTCCTGTCAATTACATTCTTACTTTATATATGCATATTTGTTGCTTTGTCTGTCAAATATATCTTATTATGCATTTATTGGCTGTCCATTATGTTTTGCATTGCATATTTGCATTGCACATACAGTATAGCTACAGCAGTAATCTCAAGTTATACTATGAAAACACAAACATCGCCTATATCATTGAGGTAATTTTTTTTATGAAATCATATAATAAAACTGAGATTACTGAGACTGAGCCAGTCTATTCGTTACCCAATGTACAACAATGTGATACAAGTGCAACAAGTAGGTGGTGCAATTACAATAACGTGTTTGACAGGTTGAACGAAAATATATCTGATCACATTAAGTGGTAAATTGATCACCAGGAAAACATAAAATGTTTTAGTAGTA